ATATATTTGATTTTCAATCGTTCGATAAGGTTTGCCCTGACTCATGTGCGGATAAGATTCCGACAAGTGTACTTAATTTTGGAGGTACACGTGGAGATGAATAATGGAGATTAATATAATAATATCTTTTCGGCCGAATAAGAATAACTCTTTCGATCCGGGCCGGGTTTTATGCAACTCATTCTATCCTTTAATGGTTTATTTATAATTAGGGGTGTTCAAATAATCGAACTACTTCGGTTAACTAATCGAACCGAATTAGTTCGGTTAATTTGGTTCGGTTATCGAATTAGTTCGGTCGATTAACGGTTAAGAAAATTTTTAGAATTCGATTAACGGTTAATTCGGTTCAAAATCGGTTAATTAATCGAAATTAAATTTTAAATATTAAATATAATATATATAACATATGGGCTTAGTCCAAACCATTTAAAACTCAATTAATAATTTAAGATCCAATAACTTTTAAACCTAAATCAATATTAATTAATTAAAATTTTATATAAAATTTTTATTTTATAATTATATATTATTTAAATTAATTGTAAACTGTTTTTTTAATTAAAAAATATTAAATATATTATATATATAACATATAGGCTCAGCCCAAACCATTTAAAACCTAATTAATAATTTAAGATCAATAACTTTTAAACCTAAATCAATATTAATTAATTAAAAAATTTATCTGAAATTTTTATTTTATAATTATATATTATTTAAATTAATTATAAATTTTCTTTTAATTAAAAACATTTAATTTTTATATAAATTAAAAAAATTTAAAAAATTTCGGTTAATTCGAAAAGTAATCGAATTAACCGAAATTTATTCGGTCCGGTTAATATTTTCGAAAAAAAAAAAGTTCGGTTCAATTAACGGTTAAAGAAAAAAACCCGGTTATGGTTAATTCGGTTTGGTTCGGTTTTAAACGAATGAACAACCCTATTTATAATTAAAATTGTACATTAAATTTAATTTTATCTTAAATCATTTTTTAAAAATAATTTACTATTTATTTGTATTATCTTTAATAATGTTATCCAATGTTGGAATAAAATTCATAATTATGGGTATATATTTATAATGCATATTATTATCATAATACATGACATAAATTAAGTGATCAATTGTGTTATAAAGTCATAAGGTATCAGAAGTGTCATGGAAATAAAAGTGTAAATACTATTAAAATTGGTTATAAGTACAAACAATTAATGATTCTTAAATCAGCCATATAAAGGGTTATGATCCCCAATAAATAAATTATCTCGTATTTTATCCTACCCATCAGAGAGTTTATACCGAAGATGATTATCTTCTTGGAAGATCACAATCGAAGAAAGATTTTAGGGTTTCAACCTATCAATTAATTTAGATACACTTATTCAATTAATTCATGTACGCTTTCGCATATAATATTTATTTTTATGATTTAACATGATTAAATCCTAAATAATTTTTCATTTTTATTATGGTTTGGTTCTAATATGTGATAAACAGATAATGTTCTCAAAATTAACTTTGGATTTGTAGTTATATACCGTCTAATTCCATATTTATATATATAATTTTTTACAGAGAATTTAAATAAAATTATCATGTTGAACTATACATGTTTTACTTTTAATAATTTTAGAAAACATATATATATATCATTATAATTTACTTTTTTTAATAGATATAGTTAGAATTTTAAATATAAATACAAAATGATTTAATATATTTTAATAATTTTAAAATTTTAGGATAATTTCACATTAAAAAATAAAATAAAAATCGAGAGAAAGATTAATACTATAAGCAAGCATATGAATAATCTACCTTTTGGAAAAAAAAAGGAGAAATGATATGGGCACGAGCGGACGATAGCAGGCAAACCCGAAAGCCCGTCCACCTTTATCAAACGATTCCTTCCCACTCCGGCCCCGATTTTTCTCGAGAGGCGTGTTCTTCTTTGGAACACGCACTCTTCGATGTATAAATTCGTTCTCTAACATAAAGTCGTATAAAATCGTAAGTCGATCCGTATTCAGGTCTACATAAACCAATCACAGCACCATTGCCCTTTGCTCTCCTCGTCTATAAATGCAATCCATGCTCATGCTGCAGAAGCATAACAATCTAGCCAACACCTTTAGTCTCTAAAAAACCATCAACCAAACACTCTCAAATCAACCATGTCGGACAAGTGCGGCAACTGCGACCGCGCTGACAAGAGCCAGTGCGTGTAAGTAATCGAACAATCATCGATCCGATCCATAAACTTGCCATCATTTATCATTGAAATTAAAGGGGTTTTTTATGGCTTTTTTGTGCGTACAGGAAGCAAGGAAGGTTCATACTGGGTTAGCTTCGTGTGGGGGTGTGATCCGAGACCATGAGGGAGGGAGTGTGGAGAATGGGATTTAAGAAATTTCTTGGGATCTGCTCGATTCTAGAAGCAGAACAGTGGGGAGTCTATGTGGGTCTCTATTGCGCTTGGAATAGCGAAAGGTGCAGGACCGAACAATGTTGAAACTCAATTGTGTCGTTATCCTCCTGCTGACATTCTTTGAATGTTGCACGAGGACATGGGTTAAATGGTTTGCTGTTTTGGTTATGGCTAGCCGGTTTTGCTCGGCTTTGGGGACTTGTGTCTTTGTGTTTTGTTGTTGCCTCGTATTATTACCTCGTGTACTCTTTTTCTCGAATTAGGTTTAGGAAATTTTTTAACGAGGTCATGATAATTAAACCCCTTTTATTATAAAAAAAATGGAGACATGGTAATACAGATGCCAAGACAGTGGACCAATCTCAAGCAGTCCTTTGAGTTCCAAAATGGGCCCCAAGTGTTTGCTCATTTGTCTCAAATCTCAATGGAAGAACACATGGTCTTAAATTTTCCATATGCATGGCCATATAAATAATATATTTAGATTATGTTTAGTTTGTACTTGAATTGAATTTAATTTAGGGTAAATTACTTGTTTAGTATTTAAACTATTAGTTTTAATATTTAAGTTTTTTAATTTTTTAAAATCATATCTATCGTTTAGTTTTTGTTTCATTTTAGTACAATGTCGTTAAAAACTTAACGGACGGATTCATCAACTGTCGCAACTACAATCGTAGGCAGTCGCATCTATCGGCCGATGAAGCCCAAACTTTTCAGCCTACACATTTTCAACCCCTAAACGTGATTACAGCCTCCATTTCACCCAAAAATATCTTAATCTCCCAAGATCGACGATAAACTTTTCGACTTCTTCATCCTTTGATCTCTGTCATTAATCATCTGATGGGCTTGAAACTGAACTATGTTAGTCGACTCGTCATTCTCTCGTGGTCCACCATTCGAATTTATCGTCCGTCTACTGGAGCTATGCCCTATCAACCCATCCGTTAAGTTTTTAACGAGTGATACTAAAATAAAAAAATTAAATGTTAAGTATGATTTTAAAAAATTGAAAGTTTATGTATTAAAATATACAAAAACTGATAGTTGAGATACTAAATGCGTAATTTTTTAAAATAAATCACTGTATGAGCACATGACTTTGCATTGGATCCAACCTGAGTGATCCTATCAACGAATTTTTTTATATGATATTTTTGTTAATTTCTTCACCATCGATTGATTAATTGAATAACTTAAATTAAATTCCATAAAATATATATTATAATCATAAATTTTTTAATCAATTTTTTTATTTAATCTATATTATTTATTTACAAGACTTGTTATCTTATTAGATCAATTGATAATTTAGTATATATGAATAAATATTTTCATTCGAATTATTATTAGTTTTTTTTTTTGGTAAATTGAACTCCAAAAGTCCACCTAAAATTAGGTTAAGATGAGGGAAACGATACACAAATGTCAATTTCAAGTGTGATTATGTGATTAAAAAAGTAATTATTGACAAAATAATGATATAATTAGAAATTGATTAGGAAAAGTGGGACCCAAAAAATTGAGATTTGTAAGGGTACAAGTCAAATTAGATGGTAATGTGTCTCACCTAAGACCAAACAGTAGTTATTTATGAAGTAAGCTGATAAAACTAACGAAAAGCCAAAGCCACCTTTCTTGTCTCAACTGTTATTTGTTGCTGTCTTAGTCTGAAGTAGTTTCAACGTTTCCCCACTCCCACTTAGGGCGAGTGAAACGTACCCTTAGCCTTTTGTCTTGTTTAGCGTTTTAAATTATTAGTGCAGACAAGTTATACTTCTTGAGGTGGCAATAAAAAAGGTTGAGTCAATGTGTATGAGATTGTTTTGAAAAAGTAATTATGTTCCTGTAGAGAGAATCCGTGTTAGTTGATAGCAGGTGTGCTCAATAGAGGTCGAGGGAGGCCAGGAGTCGAGAACTTGCTATGCAGGAACGGGACTTGCAGTTGTCTTCTTATCAAAAACATACTGACGGTGACGGAAGAGGGATCTCTTTGAAGCGCGTGGAGTCGTAAAACACATCAAGAGTTGTCTTTTTACACTGGGTTCACAAACCCTAATCCATTAAAAATGAAAGTGAAAGAAAATAAATACTAAAATAGATGTAGTTAAATTATTGTTATTCTCGATAAATTATTGATCTCCAGTTCCAGCTCAAATATCATTGATTTCTCCTTCCGTACAATCGACCAAAAAGAAGAAGAAGAAGAAAAAAAAAACATTTCTATCTCATAATATGTAAAAAAAAAAGCTTTACTTTTCTTGCTACCTTTAGATCCATTTCTCTCTCTCTCCATTTTTTTCTTGCAAACCCTGGATCACTTAACTCTCTCTAGGGTTTTCTCAGTTTCAAACTCTTTTGGTTGCAAAGGTGATTTTTATCTTCTTCTTAAAGGTACTTGGAAAAGGTGAGAACTTAGCTTTTAGGTAGTTTAAAATTGTGGGTTTTGAAAATTTCATTGGATAAGGAGAGTTAGAAGAAAATTTGACTGTATTAAGAGGTGTCATTTTCTAGGGTGGTATTTGGGTTTGCATTAGTTAGAAGAAAATTTGAGTGTATTAAGTATGTATATAATATTTGGTTTTTAGTGAAGCCTAGCTTTATTGGTTTCTATTTCTAGAAGCACAGATTCTTGATTATTTCCCTTTGGTAGAATGCTGGTGCAGAAATGGAATTTTTTTAAAAAACATTTGAATTTGGATGGAATATTGGGATTTCTGTTTTTAGTTGAGTTTCTAAGCTTTTTGAATGTGATGGGAATGGATGAGGGGGATAATGCTTCGAAAATGATAAGATTTTTGAAGAACTGAAGGATATTTAGTGACTGTAAGAACTGAAGAAGGTTTCGTTGAAGGGTGGATTTGGTGTATGATGGGTTGCATATGTTGCAAACCTTCTGCAATTGAAGATAGCAAGGAGAGTCCTAGAGAGAGGCCTTCGAGTAAAGCCTCCTCAGAAGTTAGGGCACCAAGGGCCACTTCTTCTAGGAGGGAGGGAGCTTATAGAGCAAAGGATCGGTCTGATAACAATGAAGTGCGGACAATGTTAATTGATAAACAAGTGAATGGTTCGGTACAGTTGCATGGTGAGAATTTGGACCGGAAGAGGGAGAAGAAGGAGTATGTTGTTACTCAACACCCCGGGATGGGTAGTCTCCCGAAAGCTACAGAAGGTGAGCAGCTGGCAGCAGGGTGGCCTGCTTGGTTGGCTTCTGTGGCAGGAGAAGCAATCAGAGGATGGGTGCCACGACGTGCTGACTCATTTGAGAAGCTGGATAAAGTAATTATGCTCTTACTTAAACTTATCTCTTTGTTTGGGGTGCTGTTCATTATGTATGCTTGGTCCATATGCAGCAAATATGATTGATAATTTCCTTGTTTAACCAATCAGTTAAAGTAGTTCCTTTTTAATCTTCACGTTGCTTGCCAATATTCACCTTTGTACTATTATAGCTCCCTTTAAGTCCTGTGATATACCTTTATTCAACATGAAGGCATCTTAATATTTCATTCATCTCCACTGACATACCCTTTCTATCGGTGACTTCTGGATGTGTTGTTTTGATGATGAAACTTTAGGTAGGATTTTGTAATTCATTCTGTTTTCTTGATTCGCATCTGTTACGCGGACTTATATTTTCTATGCAGATTGGCCAGGGGACTTATAGTAATGTTTATAGGGCTCGGGATTTAGATCAGAAAAAACTTGTTGCTCTGAAGAAAGTAAGATTCGATAACCTTGAACCGGAGAGTGTTCGGTTTATGGCAAGGGAAATTCACATGCTACGTAGACTTGACCATCCAAATGTTATAAAGCTGGAAGGTCTGGTTACCTCAAGGATATCTTGCAGCTTGTACCTTGTTTTTGAATATATGGAACATGATTTGGCTGGTCTTGCTTCACATCCGGGTCTGAAGTTTTCAGAGCCACAGGTGTGTCAGATTGTTTTTCCCTTTGTATTTTTCTCACCTGCAATTTGATATCTTCCAAAATTTACTTGTTTGTAAGTAATAACTGTGGTCTAGACTAATGATGTTTCCTATAAGAGATCTTCCATACATTGTGGTCCGGTGATTTTCCCCCTTTAAATTGCATTCTTAAGAAGTTGAGAATTTTCTGCAAACTAGAAATTTATACTTGGCATCTATGGGGTATTCTTATGTTCTATTTATTGAACAGGTTAAGTGCTACATGCACCAACTTTTGCGTGGTCTTGAACATTGTCACAGCCATGGTGTCCTACACCGTGACATAAAAGGTTCGAATCTTCTAATTGACAACAATGGCACCTTGAAGATTGCAGATTTTGGTCTGGCAAGTTTTTATGATCCCCATCAAAGTCAGCCCCTGACAAGCCGTGTTGTAACTCTTTGGTATAGACCACCAGAGCTTCTACTTGGTGCCACTTACTATGGTACTGCCGTGGATTTATGGAGTACAGGTTGCATACTTGCTGAGTTATACGCTGGCAAGCCTATTATGCCTGGAAGAACTGAGGTGTGCTGTTGTTATTCAATGAGAGTTTTCCTGATAAGTACTAAGTGTTTTAAGAAGAAAGTTTAGTGTAATGGTAGATGCATAACAATTGTTTTAGTGATAGGATGTGTCGTATGTTGTCTTTAGAGCTTCAGAATTAAATGAATGAGTGAGGTCCATGTCTTTCTGCTTTATAGGTGGAACAGTTGCATAAAATTTTCAAACTTTGTGGCTCACCTTCTGAAGACTATTGGAGAAAATCAAAGTTGCCTCATGCTACAATTTTTAAGCCTCAACAGCCTTATAGACGCTGTGTTGCTGAATCATTTAAGGAATTTCCTGCACCGGCATTAGCGCTCATGGAAACCTTACTTTCCATTGATCCTGCTGATCGCGAATCTGCAGCTTCTGCTCTCAAGAGTGAGGTATGTTTTTGAGAAAATATGTTCTATTATATTTCAGGCAACTATAATCCATGCATGTCTGCAAGCGTCTTCCTCTCCTTTCAAGGGGATGGTACCACAGAGTGAATATTAATAATGAAGGATTTTTTTTTCCATATGACTTGTTAGCAAGATGACATGATATCAACACTTATATTTAGCTCCTTTTCCTTTTCCTTTTCGATTCTCTATTTTCTATTAAGAAAATTTTCACTGCTGCTAAAAGTAGGAAACACGATTTTTGGAGGCTAGGCCGCTAGGCTACATTCTAATACCTAAAGACAAGTTGCTCATATTATTAGTTTGACAATTGGACCAAAACATTTTTCTAATCCATTTCATTCCTTTAGGATAAATTATAGTGATGCTTATGGGCATACTTGCAATATGCCAAGCATTTTGTCATGGTCATTAAAGAATTTATGCCCGAGTTTAGATATGGACCTTGAATGCTAAAACTATTGGTTCATGTCATCATCTGGCTCATGTTCAAGCCCCTGCTGTCTTAAGAGCAAGAACAGCGCTTTATTACTATTTCATTTTCGTCACTATGACTCCAGAAAGTTTAATCTGGAAAGCATTCTTTAGAATGGTAGTCTTGTGCACGCAAATTTGTGAAGTTAGTACATGCTTCTTTTTGTCCTCAATCATTTTGTTTTACTTGTCATAATTTTTAAAAATTTATATATATACAGCATCCAATTTCCTCGACTTGTTTTTACTTGTGGTTTTCAGTTCTTTACCACGAATCCACTTCCCTGTGATCCTTCAAGCTTGCCCAAGTATCCTCCTAGCAAGGAGTTAGATGCAAAAATGAGGGATGAGGAAGCAAGAAGGTGAATATTCTATAAGTACAATAAGAACTTGACCTTATTTATTTTAGAAATTTCCGAGATGCTTGTGCAATATGGAAAATCCCATGCTTCCGAAGGAAAAAACTTGTGATTGCATTTTATTCCAGCAAGCAAAAACTTGATATCTGTTTTTACAGGATGAGCTGCTCGTATCTTCTTGTTCTGCCACTGCTGTCTTAATGGCCTGAAATCTTTAGTGCTTGGAATAGGTGCTAAACTGATAATAAAATACTTTTTCTATTGTCAGACAAGGAGCAGCAGGAACCCAAGGTCAGAGACCCGACCATTACAGTAGAGCAACAAGAGAGTCTCGAGCCATGCCAGCACCTGATGCCAATGCTGAACTAGTCTTGTCAATGCAGGTAACTTAAGATTTGGTTAATAGTTGCCATTTCATCTCTTTTTGCTCTAACATGTTTGGTGATGGCTTAGGTAGGGTACGCATCAAAGATTTCTACTTATAATTTAATATATAGCGGAAAACATGTTTGCGATTTCATCTCTTTAGAAATATTACTTTGACATTCCAGAAAAGGCAAGGTCAACCCAATTCTAAGAGTCGGAGTGAGAAGTTTAATCCTCATCCCGAAGAAGTTGCCTCAGGTTTTCCTATAGATCCACCTCGACCATCACAAGCAGTAGAATCAAATGCAGATGTACAGGGGAATCGTCACAAGAGAGCCTCCCATTCGGGGCCACTGGCTCACCGAGCTTCATGGGAAAAGTATGGAAAAAACCTCGATGATGCTCAAAAATCTTCTACAGGGGCTGACTTGTCAATGATGCCAGGCTTAGTGGCTGCAAGAAGTAATCTTATATCTGAAGACCCCAGAGAGAGAACCAGTTCTTCGCAACCAGAAGCTCCAAAAGTATTTGCAAGATTTCCTGGTTCCTTTAAGGAGGCATCAGAAGCCTTCCAACAGGATCCTAAACATAATATGCAACAGAAAGAAGATGGAAGAAATAACATCAAAGATCCAGTTCTGGTAAGCAGTGAACCTGTTTTTTGCTGACGATTGTTTCTTACTGTCAAAACTGTGTAAAAACTAGCCTTGTTGATTTTTTGGGGGTCAAGTATGGTTTTCTGTTGGTTGGTATAACTCATTCATTTCAAGTATCTAATGCATTCTTCTCAATGATGTTTGTTTCCAGATTGGTTATGGCTCAAAAGGTCACAAAATTCACTATTCTGGTCCATTATTAGTTCCATCAGGTAACATGGATCAGATGCTCAAGGACCATGATCGTCAAATTCAAGAAGCTGTTCGACGAGCACGCCTGGATAAGGCAAAGATGAAAAAGGTTCCGTTAGAAGGCAATCAAATATCAACCAATTCATTATTCGTTTCTGGTCTTTGAGCTAAACTTCATGAACATCAAATCAGGATGAACATTGTCAAGATGATGGCAGGAAATAATTTGGCTGCCGATTTGCTTCTGAAATATGAACCAAAGTCTTCTTTTCTTTCTTGTATAGCTCAATCCTTATAGGAAGATTGCTAGTGAGGCATATGTAGTTAAGCTTATAGCTGACTTAGAGATCTTTTTCTGTGATTAAACATGCGCATTTCTTTACCACTCTACAACTGTAATCTGCTAAGATATAACCCATTCCTGTAGATCTGCCAAAGGTTAAATGCAGTGATCTTTAGATTATTTAATGTAATGAAACAAGCATAATCTAGCTTGTTTATCAAGTTACCTTGCTCCTTCCCTGCAACTCTTATACATTACGCACACACATTTATATGCATGCATTCATGTATATATGTATATATGTATATGAATAAGTATTTTTATTTTGGTACACTTCGATTTACATGATGTGAACATCTATCCAGTAGGAAATGTAAATCAGAAGAAACTTGAACATCAAGGGTTTTCCATGTCTGAGAACAACAATATATCAAGCTAATTATATTATTGCTCAATGGAAGAAGATACAATGAGAAGAACAGTTATGAGATATGAAAGTATAATTCCTTTTTGGGGGCTTGCGGGTTCAAATTGAGTACCATTTTTCACAGCTATGGAGCAATGCCGTTATTCAAATTCTCCATTTTTCACAGCTTGGTCTTGCCTCATTGAACATCCCCATCATGTTAGCTATCTACATTGATCTTGACCAAGATAAGCTTTCATAGCTAATCTATCTAAGAGACGGCGAAGCCTTCGAGCTCCGGGAGTTGGCTTAAGCTTGTCAATGTCCCCAACTTCTGAACACTGCAGTTTCCCGGAGCACCAACCACCGGGAGTGAAGCTCACGTTAACGCGGCCAAGCAAATCAACATCGATCTTATCCAATACACGATCATTTTGTTCGAACTTGCGAGCGAATGCAGCGTTGCTCCGGATCATCCTGCCTAAATCGTTAAGGGAAAGTACATGCGGGTGCTGTTTAGGAGGATTGTCCCATTTAATATAATGCATATCATGATTGACGACAGTCTTGGCAAATTCCGGATTATTGCACACGGCTGTCTGAAAGTAGCCTTCAGGGGAAGAGATGAAGTTTGTGTAGTACATGAGAAGAATTCTGGGTAGATTTTCCCATCCCATAATAATGTACTCGATGAACGGACGCGACATAATCGTCCATGCTGAACCTGCAACCATTGACAAGATGTTGTAAAAGAAAAACAAATTTACCACCTCCATGGAAGTGGAAACTAGACTTCCAAGTTTCAGTTCCTAACATATTAGAAGAACTGCAATATGCCAATATGAAGTATTTATCTGCAGGAAATGTAAAATGCAGTTATCCATATCTGCATCACATTTTTTTAAACAAATGCATATACATATATGTATAGATATTATCATAAACTTTGACACACCCCATAGCTTAAAAAGATTCACTTTTCGATCGAAAAACAGACGGTAACATATGAGAAGGGCTGCAATATGCTAATCTGAACTATTTCTTTGCAGGCAGGTAATATGCAGTCCATCCATATCTGCATCAAATCATTAAACAAATGCACATATCTTTATGTGTATGACAGAACGCTAACCTGTATATAATTTAAATGCTGTAGGCAGTTTTCTTCTCTGTGTAGCCCAATATACTTCAGACTTGGTTGACATATAGAGTCCCGGATCTATAATCAAAGGCATCGCTCTCTTTTCCCTGAAAAACCACAGACAAAACATGTCGACATTCAACATTTATGACGGTTTTCGGTGGCGAGGTAAAGTGGGATGTGAACTTACCGTTTCCAATCAAGCTCGCTCGTGTGTTCGATGAAATTAAGGTTCCGGTTTAAAGGCGAAAACGCATAAAGAAGATCTGCAAATCCGGAAATCGATCAAGACAGCAGTTTGTAAACAAGTGAGACTGAAATAAGGCACATGACATATGAGGACTAACCATCTTGAGTCACAAGAGGATAATCTGATGCACTGAGATTTATAAACCAATCCCAATCTTTGTTTCTCTTGAGAAGAATGGCAGCAGCATGGAGGGTATTAGCCACCATTGTTGGACCTCTATAAGTAACCATATTAGCCTTGGTGACCATAAAAACGTTCCCGATTTTCGAGAAAACCGTCTGGTTTCGAATCCATGAATTCAACGTCAGCCTTTCCTCTGCAGGTGACTCAAGGTCCAAATGAACCACATATTGATTCCTTGGATGATACAACGCATGGAGAGTCCTCCATAGCTTTTCGTGATCACCCTTTGATCCCGAAATCAAATAAGCGAATCGAGGTATGGGCGGACCGGCCGGCGGCGGAGGCGGATTGAGCTCGGCCTCCGACTCGACGTACCCCGGCTTTCTTTGATTCATCGGGAAAATGGAGAAGATTGAATTGATGTTATAAACTGATGAAACGATCCCCATGTTGAAGGACGAGACGAGGAAGAAGATGCATACAAGGGAAGATATCACAAAAGGGAATATCCACTTCTTCTCCATGATCACAAACACCATTGCCAAAGCTTAATTATCATAGGATCCTTCCAATAAATACTAATCTTCAAAACAAAACTGTGTTCAATCACCAAAGAATATATATATATATATATATATAAACAACTGGATTTTATTTCAGAAAATTAAAAGGAAGATAAAACAAAACACCCTTTAATTTTCTATGTATTCCAAAGATATAATATTTTTGCTGTTAAACTAAACATCACTGATTTATTCTTGTTTCTGCCGATTCCATTTCCCAGAACATACAGAAAAGTACAAATGATAAAATGCAAAGGACAAAAATAAACAATTAGTTAAGTAATTGAGAAAATCAGAAAAGACCAAACCTTTTGACAAAAGCAACAAAAACATATAATCATAAACCTATTAATGGAAACATAATCTAAAAATATATTTTTATGAAAGCAGAGAGAAAATATGTTCAAAAATGAAATAATGAATTTTAATAAATTAAACTGATTCAGCTAAGTTGCATCCAAACTTAAGAGCTATAAATAATTTTATTTTTATAGAAATTTAACAATAACATTATAAATATTTATTTACGTTGATGTTTATCTTTATCTATGTTTTGAGGAATTAGGGTTCAAGTTTTGTCGATGTGCTAAGTGCGGAATTGTTACTCCACTATGTAAATATTGATGTGTTACACTCTTTTTTCTTCGTTTAGGTATAAGAAAGTTTTTTAACGAGGTACATGTCAATATACTCAAATTGTATGATCGTTGCTATATTATAAATCGTACTTCTTAAAATTATATATTTATTAGTTTCAGAGTTATATAATACATCAACTAATTATGATTATAATTATAAAAATTGAAAGAGTCTTTCTACACAAACACAACAACTCTCTTTCTTTATTCTCATATTTCTTCTTCTTCGTTTCGTTCTTTCATATTTCACAATACTTACCGCACTAATCATTTGTTAAAACATTTTTTATATACAATAATCATTTTGTTAAAATATTTTTGTAAATGTATAATTTTATATAAAATATTTTCATTCACCCTTATTATAGCTATTATAAAGATTAATTTTAATTTAATTTTAATTCAATTATATTTTATAATAATTGTTTTTTGGCATTGATTTGCAACCTCAATTGATTCTTTTCATGAGGATACATTCAATTCAAACAACAATGAAAATAGTTGAACAATATATTACAAGGAGATAAACTTGAAGAAAAAAAAGCAAGATAAGATATTTACTTGTATACATAGGCAAGACAATATCGTGACTCGGGCTCCATTCAAAAGAGGGGAAAAAAGAAATAGAGAGAGAGAGAGAGAGAATTCTCCCTCAATGATAAATACTTGAACATGAGGATCGTACCTCAATTGATTCTTTTCATGAGGATCGTACCTTCAATTCAAGTAATATTGAAAATAGTGAATTCAGGGACAATATATTACAAGGAGATAAACTTGAAGAAAAAGTAAGATAAGATATTTACTTGTATACATGGGCAAGACAATATCGTAACTCGGGCTCCCTTCAAAAGAGGGGAAAAAAGAAATAGGGAGAGAGAATTCTCCCTCAATGATAAATACTTGAACCTGTGACATTCAAACGAGAACTCATCTTTTGTCATAACAAATTAAAAATATTTTATTTGATAATTACGACACTTGTCGCATGGTGTGCTTTTTGTAATAAATGTTTTAAATTTAAGTCTGTGAGCGTGTAGTAATGATTATGATGCTTTATCTTTATGTCGATGCAATCGGATCGAGCAGAGTTGCTTGCTCAAGTAAGAGCCTTGAATGTTGATTTTGACCAATTCAAGGATATTTTAGGTGAGAAAAAGAAGGAAATAGAGCCGCTGCAGCATGCTTTAGGCAAGCTTCGCACTAATAACAATGCTTTTGGTTGCCTAAGCTCATCCGAGGAAGAGCTCAATGCCGTCGCATGTTGCTCCTAACTGTTTCGAGAATTCGCCAATTGTTTTCTGCCACAGTCACTTAATGGAATCGAAGAACTACAGATCCAATGCTTGTAATATTGCATTCAGAACGAAAGCATCCCATCGGTCGAGGAAAACAACTTCTTAGAGAAGTAAAACGACTAGAGGGAACCAGGGAAACAATTATCACTAATGAGGCAATGAGAGCAAAGATTGAGGATTCATCCTATATTAATAAGACCTTCAACTTTATATTATTTGTTTTATTGTAGCTTCCGGGAGTTGATTTGAATGGAGAAAGGAAGCAGCAGCATGCTGTCCAGTCCAAGAAGAAACTAATTGTAAGGTATGGCTCATAAATATACCAGTAAAAGATTTAGGTGCTGCAAAGAAAATTATTGGAATGGAAATTTGCAGGGACAGAGACTCAAGGAGACTGTGGCTATCTCAACGGGGTTATGTTAAAAAAATGCTAGAAAGGTTTGCGATGAGCAGCGTAAAACCAGTTAGCACTCCATTGGCGAACCACTTTAAGCTCTCATCAGAACAGTGCCCTAAGACAGATAAGGAAGCTGAAGATATGGCAAAGGTTTCGTATTCTAATGTTGTTGGCTGCTTGATGTATGCAATAGTATGTACTCGTCCTGATTTAGCCCATGCTGTTAGTCAAGTTTGTAAGTACATGTCTAAACCTGGTAAGCAACATTGGGAAGCAGTCAAGTGGATCTTTCGATACTTAAAGGGTACTGTGGGACATGGAATTGTTTTTGGTAGTCAACGAGATAATCCTTTGGTTGTAGGATATGTGGATTCAGACTATGCAGGTGACTTGGATAATAGAAGATCTACGACAGGGTATGTTTTTACTCTTGGTGGAGGACCTATTATTGGAAGTCTACTGTTCAATCTGTAGTGACACTATCTACAACTGAAGCTGAGTACATGGCAGCGGCTGAAGCAGCAAAAGAAGCTTTATGGCTCACTGGTTTAGTGAAGGAGTTGGGTGTTCAGCAAGGTGGAGTTCAGCTGCTTTGCGACAATCAAAGTGCTATTCACTTAGCTAAGAATCAGGTATATCGTGCTAGAACTAAGCACATTGATGTACGTTTTCACAAGATCAGAGAGTTGATTGCATCTGAAGAGATTTTGTTTCAGAAGGTACACACTGATGAGAATGCCGCTGATATGTTCACCAAGCCAGTTACGACAGACAAGTTCAAGCATTGCTTGGACTTGTTGAATGTTTCAAGTTGTTAAAGAACTAAGGTAACCTAAACCTATGTGAATTGAATAAAATTTTCTAGCGCCGCCTAGGCACCGAGGACGTAAGCACATTGCCGAACCTCGTTAAAATTCTTGTGTTCTTTCGTTTACTTTGCCCGATTTATCAACACTAATTAAAGATAAACTGAATACAATCGATAAGAGGATCGACTATTTATAGGATGAGCTGAAAGATGTGACCGAGAAGAGGGACAAAGCTTATGAAGAAGTACGTTGTTTCTTTGCTTAAAACTAAAAACTTTGTTTCATGCATACACATGACCATATCCGGAACATTCATTTATACTTGAAGAGCTACTGTCACTACATGGAGGATTGACATGCATTATAGTCGAATTTCGAGCTTCATTATACGAGCTATTACTAGGGACTTGTTTTGATTACGATTATCTTTCGATTTTTCAGAATGTCTATTTTTTCCAGAGCTGTTCGCTCATAAACAAGCCCAAAATCGTGGCTGCCAAGAAAGATATAAAGGCACTTGAGGAGCTTGCAGCTGTCGAGGTACGTTGAGATTCATGTCCTTCGTATTCGGTTGGTTTCTCATCTCCTATACTGGTTTCAGATTGAGAGGTTTATGGCTGTCTGGAACGGGAACAAGGCCTTCAGGGATGACTATTTCTGTCATCCTTGGATAGTCGACAATTGAGCCGGGACGATCAGATAAGGAGTCCTGATGAGAAACCACTGGTTACACCAGAGGCACTTACAACTTTACAAACCAAAATAATTCCGAAAACCGAGTTCGAGACTACCAAAGGAATAAGCCAAATCCTCTTTTGAATGTGCAGCACAACATTTCGCACGTATACGCACAACAGAAATCTTGCTTAAATGAATTCAGAAATGTTGCTCGAGCACTCTCATGAACACCAAATCATACAATAGTTGTAAGAAGTGTTCATTAATTTTAGGCTTAAATGCATATTTCCCCATAACTATACCATTTTTACCTAGTTGTCCCTTAAAGTATTTTTCTGGACGTTTTGCCCCCTCAACTAAAAATCGATACCCCGTTTGTCCCAAATCATTAACACCGCTAAAAATAGAAAGAGAGAAGAAGAAACCGTGCAATTAAATTAGGTGACAAAATGGGGAAAACTTATATTTAGTGATTATTTTGAAAGGAAAATAATTAAGTGATAAAAACTTAAATTTAATGTTGTTAACGATTTAAAGTAAACAGAATAACGGTTTTTAGTTGAGGGATAAATTATCCCGAAAAATACTTTAAGATATAACTCGATAAAAATGATATAATTCAGGGAAAAAATATGCATTTAAACTTGAATATGTTCTCGCTTTAGATGGATTGTAATGCTTGATTATTCAAAAACAAATATTTTGGCTTTTGAGATTGGTGAAATCATCAATGCCGTTCTCTCTCATCGATCATCGTTATCCTTTTGTCCATCTGTCTAACACTCCACTTCTTTTTACCCCAAAGGGGGGATGCTGCTGGGGGCTGCCCATCGGGATCCGTCAGGCTCAAATTTCAACGGTTAATTAAAAAGAAAAGGAAATTTGAAACAAAAATTAAAGAAACTGTAAAGCGTAGCCCACTTACAATGGAATTTCAAACAATATGATGTCTTAAATGGTACCAATCATGATGATGATGAATATTTTTTTTACTTTATTTTAAAGTTCCGTCTTAATTAATTTATATCGTATATTTATTTTTTATGAACGAATCTCTTATTATAAATTTTTTATATATACAAATACTTAAATTTAATATCTATTTAAGTAATATCAAGTTGTTTACCACTTAAACGTTAATAATATTTGTTTTTATCTATAAGTTTTCAAATTATTTAATTAAATTTT